TTCCTCCATCAGTTTACAATCAATATCAAAATCGAAAGGAGGATCAAGAATGAAATAATTATGTAGGAAAGAGCATCCCTTTACTGGAACCTCATGTTGGGATTGAGATTCGTCTTTTATAGACCCCATTTCATGAACAGATCCTTTCTTTTCACATTCAAACAGCATTGCGGTGTGGGCTCATTCCGCTTTTTTCATTATTCAACTTCTTACAAAGAGTTTCTCGTCAAGACTTAATTAGGTGTATGAATCTCATCCCAGATTCGCATAAAACTGATAAGATGATTTGATAATGGGACACAATCACTCTCACGCCACTTTATGATTAATAACTAGTGGCAGACAGACATGCATTATTTATGTCGAGTTATGCAGTTGCTGTTTAACAATGGTTGTTTAAGGACAAAGGGCACAATCAGAGAACGCGATTCTTAAAAATCTTGAGAATGAATGAATGAAGATTGAAGGGTGTGTGGGCGAGGGTATCCTTACAGTAGCATTCATCATCATTCACGCATGGCTTAATGAAGATATCCAAGTTCCAAAGCGCCAAAAATAATAGTGTCCGAGTGTATGACCATCTAAGTCCAAAGGTCCCACCATCCGTTACTGTTTTCTCATCTTTTGGCATTTGCAACAAATAAACAATCTCCCATATTTGACAACATCCTATTTGCATTTGACAAAAAGCAGGATCATCATTTATAATCTGAAACAAAAATACCACTACTCGAGTGGTAGTATGATATGAGTAAATAAAAAACATTTAGGTCCGTTTATTTACTAAAAAGAAATAAAAGAAATCAAAAAATAAAAATAAGATGATCAAATAGAATATGTGAGCACAAATATAAGGAGGAAATATAATTTAATTTATGAGGTTAAAAATTATGATTCATGAAATTATTTAAGGGTATGATATTTCTACATTTATAACATATATTAAAGAATTTTATTATTGATCATGAAAAGAGAGTGATTTAATTTATTTATTTTTAACTTTTTAAATCCGTTTTATTATACTTCCTCTGTCCCAAATTATAGGGCACTTTTGGAGGAGTTTTTTCGTCTCAAAATATAAGACACCTTGGGTAGATTAAGGTTTCATTAAATATATCAATTTTAATATTACTTTTTTTTTCTTTATAATTAATTTTTATCCCTTTTCTTTTCAATGTATTAAATGAAGAGTATTTTTAAAATTTTATATTTTTATTTTAAAAAGATAAGGTCATTAAGTGTATTTAATGAGTTTATTTGTATGTGAGATTTTATCTAAAAGTATTTTACAATTTACTCCCTCCATCTCTATATACAAAGTGTTTTCTATAAATTTATTTTGTCTCAAAATACAAGGAGTGACAATGATATTTTTAAGTAATTAAATAATTTTATTCTTATCTTAAAAAATAGAATGAATCGTTAATTATATATTTTTCTTACCATCATTATAATATTAATTATAATATTATTTATGATAAAACTGAAAAATTATGATATTTTTATATGAGTTTAATTAAATAATAAATTTTTATTGATATGTAAAATTTAATTAAAAAATACCTTACCTTATATTATATACGGGACGGAAGGAGTTAGACCGAGGGAGTAGTAACCTGAATGAATGGGTTTGCTTGCTGGAATAAGAGAAGGAAAGAGCAGACGAATTTATGGAAGCGAGAAAAAGGGTTCAACGGCCAGAGTCGGAGGCGGCGACTGTGTCTGCTGTCTATATGAACAACGACACGCAGTACGAACCCTATTTATTAACCATCTGGTTCCGACAAAACAGCATCGAACACCGCCACCCCTTCACTCTCCGTACTCCCTCCCTCCCTCTCTGTGTACCGAATTTTCTTTTTGAAAAAGAAACTACCTTTTGGTATTGTTATCATATATTGAAATTTATTTCAGATCAAAACATGCAAGTTGTTCAAAGTTTGAAGAGTGTCTTGAATTTGAGAATTAAAATATATTAATTTCGTTTTAAATTATAAAATATTTTAAAAAAATTTAATATTTTGATAAAAAAAATTTATTAATGATAATTTTTTAATATTATCATTTTCATATATTTTTTTCCTTTCAATATTCTTTTATAAGTAAAATATTAAATGAAAAGTATTTTTTAAAGTTTAAATTTTTATCTTCAAAAGGTAATGTTATAAAATTTATTTAATAAACTCTATTGATACGTGATATTTTATTTAAAAATATTTTATAATTTTAAATAAAGGAAGTATTATGTTTACAAATTTATTGGGCTTCATTTTATAATCCGATGATATTTAAAATCGTTTTGTATTCATTAAATATTATTGAAATGATTTTCTGTGATAAAACTATATTTTTTATTAAAATAAAAATTATAAAAATTTTAATAAATCTATTTTATCACCTATTTGAATAAAACATATTTCTGAATGGTTCAATTAATTATTATAAGTTTTTAGAATTTTTAAAAATTAATTATCCAAATATATTTTAAATAGTCTAGATTTAATATTAAAATTTTTAAAGTTTTTACAAATTTCTATTTTTCTATAAAAATGTTGAATTAAAATTTTAAGTTAGATTGTTCAGAGTACATTTGGAGAAGCAATTTATAAAATTTTTAAATTTTTAATATTAAATTGGGCTATTTAAATTAAATTTGTAGTATCTAAATTGGTAATAAATTAATTGATTAAAATTTTTATTGTTTTTATTTTAATAAAAATAGAAAATAATCTTTTAAATCAAAACATCTAGATTAAAACATGAATGGTTCGATCTTATCACATTGGTGAGTACTATCATATTAATGACCACTAAAATTCGTTCCATATTATTAAAATATTTATTAGTTATTATTAGAATAATCTATATAGTATAACTTCTTCCTATCATTTAGCCTGTTTGTTATAGCTTATTAATTAAAAAAGCACTTATTTTTTGAATATTTAGTATGCTTGTTTAAACCTTTAAAAATAATTAGAATACGAAAAAAAAGCATATTTTTTATTATTTCAAGAAGTTACTTTAAGTAGCTTTTGAAAATAATCTAATACGGTAGATAAAAAAAAAAGTTTTAAAAAAATAGGATATGTGAAGATATCATAACATTTTAAAATAATATAATAATAAATTATTTTTATAAAACAAAAATTAAGAAAGATACCATAAAATTTAAAAACAACTAACTAATAATTAATTTTTATTATTGTAACTAAACATAAAATAATATTTTTTTATAAAATTTCTACAAAATAAATATTTTTTTATAAAATTTTAAAACTATCTAAAATTTATTTATTTTTGATATTAAACAAACAGGCCCATTACAGTATGCTACTATTTCAATCTCTATTTCTTTCCGTGATTTCTTTCACGTATCATTCATTCTAGTTCAATATTTCATATTCATGAATCATGATATATATTCTACACAGAGAAGCATGTGGATGCTATTGTGCTATTGCTATGCTGAGCAAAGCGGCTGAATTGAATTGGCAGTCTCGCTTGGATGGCTCAAATGTCCTTATAAAAACCCTGTTGTTTCGGCTGGGTCGCATCATCGGGGTGCGGACCTGCCCCCCTCAGTTTTTTTTTCTTTTTTGTTAAAAAAATAAACAACAACAAATCAGGTTTCTAAGGTACGATTGCGAAATCACTAATCAGATACAAATCCGAGGTTAAAGTGTCGTGGAGACGTCTATGCAAATGACTTGGCCAAAATTTAGGTGGTTGTTGGGCACCAGCCACCGGACATTGAAAGTTGAAACTCTAATTATATTGGTCTTGCCTTGTTGGTATTTGTAAAACAGCATTACGATTGTGGGATGTATAATTTTAAACTAGGGGCATTTGGCAATTCTTATTAGTTAAATCAGCATCGGGTTCGAATGCACGTGCAGAAAGCGTTCCCGCTCGTGACTAGCACACCGTGCAGAGGGTTTCCTTCTTCCTAATAGTAATATTTTTGCGTAGTTCAGTTACCCATCTATTTTATGATCCTCGCGTTGAAATTGGATTCTGCTCAAGCCCCTTTCTTCTTACTCCCATAGTCCTAATCTCCATCCATTATTAATTAGACCATATTATCTCCGTCCATTTTTCTTCTCCAATATATATCATTTCAGTACATCAGAAATGGGAACCAGGGAACAAAATCACTGTTGAGAATTTGCGAGGAAACCAATTCAGACGTTGATAAATGGGCATATGGAATTGATTGATCTGGACGGGAAAGCCATGTTTGAAATCCACATGCACTAAGCAGGAAGAGCGAGGTATGGTCCCCACCACTCACGGCCCAAGCCTTCTCAATGTGAATTATGAATTACAACTATTATTAAATCAGCAACTCAGTAAGTCGGATTATTAAAAGAAAGTCGAAATGCTGTATATTTACATACACCTTGCACTCAAGAACAGCCATTTTCATTTTTTAAAAAGGGGGACATTTCTCAAGGAAGACAGGCAGTGACTTTTTTGACCTGGCAAGTTCAAACTTCAAACCATGTCCCTGCCTTGTTCCAATTACACAAACTACCCTTCAATTCAACTATTCGAGGAACACCAAAGCGGTAGGTACTAGGTTCGCAGGAGATTACTGATGAGGGCGGCTTTTGTTGGTTCTCAAGCAGGTAGGTAAAGCTCATAATTACGCGCAAACAAATATGAAAGGGGGACGGAGGGGCAGGCGTGAACAGCCAAAAGAGAGAAAAGGCAGAGAAAATAACGACATGAATAACTCAAGGTGGGGGCAATCGCATCTTTCTCGCTCTTTCTCTGCTTTTCATGTCTTCACACCACTCTCTCGCACTCCCAACGCCTTCGCTTTCACTGCTAAAGCCATACAACCACCCCATTTCTTGTGTCCCTTCTCATCACTTCTAAAGGTGGCGTCGCCTGCATCATTGAAAACACACCCCCGCCCTCACCACACATTCTTTTACCACATCTACTCGTTAATTCATCAACCAAGCTTATCAGAATAAAAGCCGGGGAAAAATATATATATAAATATATCTCGCCTATCATCATTTATATATTATACCAACTGTACAATTTCTTTATTTTAGGCTATCCATGCATTTTGGATATTATATCCAGGAAACATTGAACTATGCTCCTTCTACCTATCTCGCATCATCCTATCCCCTTTTCTAACCACAAAAAATTTCATAAATCCCCACCTCCTTGATTTAAAAAAAAAATAACAAAAACAAAAATCCCCCCATCAAATTTCCATGTACAACTTCTAAACCCCAACAGCCCAAACCATGCGGCTGTATATTCAAAATTCAGCCGCAAGCAACCCTAATTTCTCGGCAAGCTTCCTGATGATATCGCAGTGGCGCGTTCACCGAATGGTCATGCTGGTAAGTCCCACTCCCCACCACCATCCAGGGCCTCCAAGGCTGAAACTATGTTTCCAAGATGTTGCGATTAAGCGGGTGATTAAACCTGAATGACTATCATTCCATCTCAAAATTACATGTCATCTGTGAAAACTCTCCCCACGAAATCACGGAATCTCTTTGAATAGAGCTTTGGATCAACTGCAGAGATTGAAGTCGAGTCAACCTGCAAGGATTTGTAAGCTCGCTCCAACTTCTTGCTAATATCATAATCTTGCAAAATGTCAATAATCCCAAAATACAGGACCACATCATACGTCTCTCCGCATCGATAAGGGGTCAGATGACTGATACCACCCATGGTGTATTGATCAAAATCACTCCTCCGAGCCATTCGCTCAGCTCTTGCCGGCATATTGGCTCCTAACCTAATCAACGATTTCCTGAAATATCAAGGATACTCCTTAGCACATACCATCAAATATGCAAATCTGCTTGTACAGAAACAAAATGCATATATAAATCCAAATAAAACAACCAACTTCTATGGTCTGATAATACAATTGGGACTGCAAAGTTGAACAACTCGAAAGTTTTCAACGTCTTACTTTGGTACTGGAAGTTGTGCGTGAACAAGCTAGTATATAGAATAAAAAGTTCAGAAACGGACAAAAAAATTCTTCAAGGGACAAACAATCATTATTGAGCCAAGAGAAGGTTATAGCTTCTTATTCTAGTGAAAATAGGACCACAACCTGAAAGCTCCCCACAAACAACTGTTAATTGCTATGTGAAGCCTATTGACTAGACAAACTATTCAAAACAACTTCTAATTATTATCGTCCCTGTTTTAAATTAAACTGGAAAATTATTAGGCATCTTTAAAGTAGAACTCAACCATAGTATGCACTGTATACATGTCTCCTCCAAAGATTGCCATGAATTTATCTAATTGCACTCAGATGGCAGTTTTGCTCAAACTCAACCACAATTACCCCCCACTCCTCAACCCAAAAAAGGAAAAATCAGAAATCTTGTTTCACTATGGAGCAACAAGATAGAAGCATATTAGGTATTTCATGAAAACAGAAACAGACAACCTTCAGGGAAACCCTATCCTTCCACGCTAAAGGTAAATCAGATGGCCTGTGAAACAGCTATCAAGGAACAGGAAAAAATTATGACATACCGGCCGGATAAAACTCGATCCCTATCTTGAAGCTCAGCTTCAAGAAAGCGATACCCACGCATGAACTTTTCAATCTGATAAGAATCCCGATTTCCTACAAGCAGCAAGACAATTGCTATTTAAAATTTCTAATTCCTAATGCAACATAAAGCTGATCTACCCAAAAAAAGAAAGATGGATCAATACCTGTGCGCAAAACATATGGCGACAGCCCCATTTTGTCATAATTATTATCATCACGAAAGTGAAGGCCAACCAGAAGACTGTAATCCATTATACCCTCAGATTCCAAGAACTCACAATCCCTCTCGATTTGCCTGAACATAAGAGTGCCAAAATATCCTAAGATAGTCTAATTATTATAACAAACTGCAAATTAGCATCACAGGAAACTCCGGATAAAGCACAAAACTGACGTCAAAACTTACTTGATGAAATCCTGGTACCAATTTTGCTGCAGACGAAAGACAAAATTGAGATCAAGGTCCTTCAAGGTTGTAGTCTCGTCAATCTCCCTCTCAGGCTTATCTGTTATTCGGCCATGAGAAGATCCTTTCAAGTCAAATCGTCTATGGATTGGATATTCTGAGCAGAAAAGATTTCCCATCACAATGAACCGTGTCTGGAATCCAACAACAATAAAGAATGAGGAACCAAGAAGCCTAAGACCAACCCCTTGAAACAGAGCAAAATATCTACAAAGCCATACCTTTTGCCCTCCAATTGGTTTGACACAGTGTACCCCATAGAACCTCGTCACCAGTGAATTATCGTATTTAGAAACATGTCGGTAATAACTTCGAAGCATCCGAATAAGCACCTAAAAGTTAATCATCAAAGTCAAAGACGAATGGTATTGCCCGTTTTGCCAAGGTCAGACTTCCAATATAATTTCTTAACGGTCGTTCCTTTTCTAACCAAAAAAGAAAACTAATGGTTACAAAGCTAGCATTGACAGTCCTCCATCTTTCTGAGGCCAGACCGACCTCTGTCTATCCAGATTAGAATAGAACTGCCTAATACACGAGAATTGAAAATAAGGGCTCTCAAAATAGAGAGGAGGCATAACCATTATGCCATGGGATGTTACTCATTAAAAGAAAGTTTAACAAATTAACGCTATTATACACTAGCAAGAGCTCTTCAGTTTAGCAGCATACAACTTCAGGCATCCATAACAAAGGTAGCTAACCTTGACTTCAGATTTCCTCACTGTCTTTATCATGAATCGGTCGTCCTGAGTCAAGTAGAAGATGCTTCCACTCTTCCCCGGAGAAGAAAGCTCCCTAAGGGCATCGTCCCCGCATATAGCTAACATGTAATCACCAGGATCCACTTGGAATAGCTTCCTCAATTGTCTGAAATCCAAAAGATTGTCCAATCAAAAACACTTCAGATGACATTAATTGTACCATTGCAATGCTCGCATCCAATGCAGAATGGAAGATAAAAACTTATCCTACATGGTTAAATTACCATGCTAATCGAAATGTAAACAACAATCAGTTAATTGCGCCAATACACACAAGCCCACCAATACCTAAAAACCATAGGGCAGTAATCTTTCCACCGGAACTCCACTGATTGATGAGGTGGGGTAATCTTGGATCCTTCCGGAGGAAACCTGGTCCAGAACTTCTCCTTCGGATCGAAATCACTTGGTTTAAGCTCTCGCGATATAGAAGCTTCCTTCCCAACAGAGTATCTACGCAAAAGAATCGCGAGTCAGCACTGGTCCAAAGACTCTAAAAAAAAAAAAAAGATCCGAAAAACCAAAACAACAAATCGAAGGGAATTTCTTTATTTTTCGATAGAAAGATATACACTCCCCTTCACTGCTATACCTTATGCCCAATTGCAGATTAAGCATTAAATCGTAATTCTTGTGCCCCTTGAATATGGTTTGCCCTGGTCTTTTCACCTCCCGGGAGCAACACCAAGAGTTCCGCCGAAACTGTTTAATGTCATCACGTTCCAACCCCTTCCCATCCCTATAAAACATGGATGCTTCCACATTATCGATTATATCACAGGTTATATCACCCGCTTCTCCGTCTGATTCCCATATGCAAATTCTCGGAAAATTCTTCTCAGTCATACTCCTTCTAGCACCGTCCACGGATGACCTCTTCCTCATCGTTATTGTCAAATTATCACCCGTCAATGGGCCATTGCTCTTAAGATAGTTCTCTTTGCCATAACCAGGGTAGAAAGTGCCATTCAACTGCTGTATTTCCATATCCTTGTTCCAGTCACCTATATAGCAGCTTCCATCAGGCCAAGTGAAAATCCCTTGGCCTTTGGGAACCCCGTTCTCCCATTGCCCTTCATACCGATTGCCATTCGCCCAAACAAGCACACCTCTTCCAGAGATTACACCGTTCTTCCACTCGCCAACATACTCGTTCCCGTTAATCCATACATACCGGCCCCGGCCATCCTGAAGGTTCCGCTTCCACGACCCTTCATAGAAATCGCCGTTGGCGTAGCGCTTCTGCCCGTGCCCATGTTTCCGGTCGGCACTCCAGGTGCCGCGGTAAGTGTCGCCATCGGATCCGGTGAAAGTACCGAATCCTTCCATCCGACCCGCTTTAAATTCGCCCTCATATGTCGCTCCGGAGGGCCAAGAAAATTTGCCTTTCCCAGCAGCTTTGCCTCTCTTCCACTGCCCCTCGTACATGCACCCGTCGGTCCACAAGTATTTCCCCGATCCGTGAGGAACATTGCCGGAAAAGCTGCCCATGTAAAAATCGCCGTTAGGTAAATGCTTCTCTACTGTGGAAGTCGAGCAATCAGAGGCGATGGATATGCCGGTAGGGGTGACTCTTCGTGTGCCCCCCTGGGAGCGACTCCGGGCAACCACAACAACCGGCGGGGATGGCTTCTGGCCGTCCTTGTTTATCTTATCGGCCTCTGATTTACCCTTCTTGGAGCTGGAAAGATCGTCAGTGGGCTCATCGCGCACGAGTGCTTCAAGCATTTTGCGTTGATAAATGAGCTTCCCAAATCAATGCATTTCCGGCAATCACGATGAGTAAAATTGCAGAATATTGGCTGTCTATCCCCTGAAGGCTGTCAGCGCATCGCCGGAGGGAGGAGAGCTCAAGCGTTAAAGTCTCTCAGTAGAAGTTTCTTCCTCACTTTTCCCTTCCCTTCCCTTCCCTTCTCTTCTCTTCTGGTTGCTTTGGCGTTTGGGAAAAATGGGTGGGAATCCTACAGGACGACCCAAGCACAGGTAGGAAGCGGATAGAATGAGAGGAAAGGGCTGCGTGTTTTAACTTTTAAGGGGAAAAATACAAAAATTAAAACCGAAAACCAAAAAAAAAAAAACAGAGAGAGAAACAAATGAGGAGAGAGAAAGGAGCTGGAGGAGTTAATTAGTAGACTTCGCCTGGGAAACGTGGCTTAGCAAACAGTATTTTGTCCTAAAATAGTAAATTCAACTTTTTACATGTTTTATTAAAATAAAAAAAATTTAAATTTTATTAATTTTATCTTAAAATTTAATAATTTTTTATTTTTACCTCTAAAAAATATTCTTAAATTTTATTATTAATATTTTTATATTTAAAATATTTAATAAAAATATAAATATAAAAAAAGTATTAAAAATTCATAAATATTTTAAAAATAAGATCAAATTTTTGTTTTTTATTCTATAAATAAAACTCAAGGAGTAAATAAACTGATAACAGAAAGTAATTAAGTATCTGAAATGCTTGCTTTTTAGTTTTTACATTCCCTTTTCGGATACATCTTTTGTAAATATTGTTAAGTATAAAATATTTACAATTATTTTTTGAATTATATACTGTCTCATTTGTTATTCTTCTTTAAAAAAATATCTTAACATTTCAATTGTCATTATCAAAAATCTTATATAAAATATCTAATAAAAATGAAATTCACAATATATAAAAAAATTAACATTTCAATTAATATTTTTTTAAAACCATGACTATTTATCAAAGTTGTATATTACTATGGTTCAAACGAAATAAAACATTATTTCAAAAATTATAGTTTTATTAATTTAAGCAAATTGATTAATTACTACTCCCTTCAAACTATAATATACAATATCTCTTAAAAATTTTAACTGGTAAAAAATATAGAGTATTTAGTAATTTTTTATATTTGTTTTTTAACAATACCCCTACTTAATTTATTATTTTTTTAACAAAATTATGTATTAAAATTTTAATTATTATTATAAAAAATGTTATATAAAATATTTAATTAGTATTAAATAAGAAGGTGTTGATATTTTTAAAATTTTATTTAATATTATTTGAAAATTATAAATTAGTTGATTATGATTTATATCATCAACACATAGGAATAAGCAAATGGAAGCAAAAGTTGCAGAGGAAGGAGAGCCTGCTCAGCTTTAAGTATATCGCATGACGAATATACCCTTCCCTGCCTCACCTGTAATTTAAAGTTCCTTGCCCTCCTCCCGACGCTGCCTCTCCGTGCGATCCCATTACCCTCTTCGGCAGTATCGTGAGTCGTGACGTAACGGAATCGCCGATGAGAGGAGAGGGCAGGTGCTTGTAATTCTGACAAATTTTTATGCCCCTTCTCTATCTCTCTTTTCTATTATTCAAATGATATTTACATGCGGGCCCCTCCTTCGTTCTGGCTCTGGGATTCTGGATCACAAAAACCCATTCATCGTGTCACCATAATCTTTTAAAACAAAAACAAAGGAGATGGGTTCGCATGGAAGTGAAAATGAAGATGTGTTTAATGCTACTAGTCTGAAACAGCATTGAGAAGAAGGTTCAAAGTGAAGGTGATGAGCACTGACAGGAAGGTAAACCTAATTTAGAATTGATGAGGTTACAAAGAAAATAGGACAATGCTAAAATAAGGATTTTCTTCTCTCTGGAGAAAAAATGTGGGAAGAAAAAGTATTGGGACTTACTCTTTGTTTTCTTTTCTATTCTTCATTTTTTACAATTTTCTTTCCTCAACTAAACAGGATAAAAATATGTTTCTATCTAATTTTTTCTCCCATTTGTACTTCCTTTCATATTTTCCTCTCATCCAAACAAAAGGTAAAGCAATATCGATATTCTTACATTTTAGTTAGAGAAATGTCTTCCTAGCATTTTCAAAAAACAAAAACAACTTCCTCACTATCCTCTTCTCCGTCTTCTTCCTTCCTCGAGCTTGAGTGAGAATGGTAGGGTCAAAAGTGCTGGCACTACGGTCGATGTCATCAAATAATTATTCTCGCTATGTACCCATGATCCTGTCACCAAACTTCTTCATCATATTCATCAAGTACAGAACTAAACCTATCATTAAACCAACCAATAATAGTTCATTAGTTTACGGCATATGGTTAGGCTAACAAAATTGCAATGCCGTCCTTTCGCGCACACGTGTGATTAATAAATTGCTTCTCCTAAACTATTCTTTTAGAAATAAAATTGCAGATTCAATATTTCATATGAAAAATCAATCTTGAATAAAAATTGACTGTTACGTAGAAATCCTACCGTTTTTCTTCAAAGAATCGGTCAAGTAATCGTAGGAAAATTTCACAGATGTCTTGTAAAAAAGAAAAACAGAGACACAACTCTCCTTCTTCCTGTCAACCCAAACATAAATCAAGTTGGATTTTAAAATTGAGGCAAACATTGTTGGGTTTGCAATCGAGGAATAACATGAAAGGGGGGAGGGGGAGGGGGATTCGTGTATGGAAAAAGATCTCTTAGATGAGTTCAAGAAGACCAAATTTAGCGTTTGGATTTTACTAGTACTGTTGAGTTTGATTTCAATAGCCATAGCGCTAATAACCATTTTCTACATCCCATTCCCAAGGAGGAAGAATACATGAAAGCTAAAGTTGTGGAAATGGGAGGTGATGATTTTGGTCCTGATTTGTGGTTGGTTGATCTCCAATTGGGTTGTCCCAATTGCAGTGTCCTTTATTGAAAAAAGTTTTATTGTCAGGTTATTTGGTTTTTGTTTTGTCTTTAACTGACAAGTGTTTGCCACATGACAAATAAAATAAATCAAATGATCAACCTAATAGTATAGTAAAATTGCACCATTTTTTAAAAGTTTCAAGACAATATTGCTCTAGTTAAAAGGTAATGATACCTAGTATTCATTTTAAAAAGGTTTTGAAACATTTTTGCCACTTAACAATAGCATGCACTTATTTTATTTTTAACATTCTGCTTTCCCCATCATGTATCAAGAGAAGGATGAAATGTTGTTTTTCCAAAAAGGAGAAATGAATATTAGGCTGAAGCAAGAAGGCCCCTCCGTCTAGTTATACTATTCTGTCATCAAACAAAGCCTCTGAAGTCTCATCTGCTAGGAGGCAACGTCAAGTATGGAGGAATAATGCAAATGTGGCGTGTGTGGAAGACAAATAGTAGGTCTCCTGGGATGCATCAAATGCATGTAGCCGATAGGACAACAAAAAGGAAACAGGGTTTGGCGCCTTGCGTTTTGCGTATCTTATCACAACATAAACATCAGAGCCAAAGACATGATTAAAAGCACCCCCTAGTTTAACCAGCATCGCCCTCCCTAACATTTTAGCAGTGAATGGGACCTTTTCAAGTCCTGTATGCATTTGCGCGTGTAAATAAACAACTGGCCACTGGCCAGGTCCTTTTGTGCTTAATTGGTTTAAATGATTTTAACCTTTCAGAATTTGACAAGAGTGCAAGCCCTCGTGATTGTTTCCCGTAAGTAGTAAACAGTCACGAGCTTGTTCCTCTGTTCCATCGACGGCAAGAGTTTGATCAAGCCCCAAGTGAGAAACTCTCTATACTGTGTCTACGTATGCACAATCAAGCAGGTAACTCAATTAGGGATGACACTCGCCGTTTGGTTATTTACAATAGTGTGTTGAAAATGAATAAAGTTAGGAACTGTTCATCACTAATAATAATTATCAGAAAAATGTATAACCTGCGATATCATCAAACTCATCGATATATTTTCTCCACTAGAAGGATCCGGAAGAGCTCATGATTAAGAGTGTCATGTTATATATTTAAGAGTTACCAATGGAAGGCTGAGTATTTGGCTAGTTCATGGCCAGCGAAGCAGAGAACCAAGAGTCAACCAGCACCGACCAATAAAACACCGACCCATTATTTTTGCTGCTCCTTCTGCGGGTTGACTCAACGCATATCTTAAAACCTTATTCCTTCTTCACATTCAATTTGAGTGTTCGTTTTGTTCCACGACAACATAAGAGCGCATGCATGAATACATATGCTTGTTACTTTTAACGATCTTCACCTGCTGCCCCGTGTATTATACATGTTGTCAAACACACCATCATATGACCTTTGATTTTCTTTTTGCATGACACGGACTTAATTGTGCGTGATCCGACTTATATTTGTCTAATTATAACCCACAAAAAATCCACAAATGGACAGTGAGATAGAATAGTGATGCACATTATTTTCGAAGACGGACAAGATCCACATGATGACTATTAATTTTGTAAAATCCAGGCTCCGCAGTTTATCGCTGTATGAATATATGTACATATATATCAGCAAATGATGTTCGCCGGGTAGTAGGAATTCTTTCCCGAGAAAAAAATTAAGAATTCAAAATGTACTGGGGCCCAAAAATAGGAAACAATTCACACATCACCATTTAATTTGTTGCAGTCGATGTTTCAACAATTGGAAAATTCGATTAGGTTGTACAAAAATAAAATAGAATTTCTTAGACATTAAATTAATCCCAATCCAATCACAGAAGTCGACCAAATTGAATAAACTCTCATTGGGTAGTTCGAACGAGGATTAGCCTCTCTCTTCGCCCGTTCTAAAAAATGACTGAATCAGAAAAAGCATACTTATTCAATTCCTAGAGGCTTTTCATTAATTTCCTAATCCTAATTATGCTCGTTTTATTAATAACTTCGGAAAAGATATTTTGACCCAGCTAAGTCCAAAAAATGACTTTTGGACTTGAACAAAATGTATATTAAATGAAATACTGGAAGTCGAAACTGTACAAAAGATTTTTCTTTCCCTAATATTTATACAAGCGATTCGGTCGTTCAACCAAGATATAAAGTGCCACTTTAAAAAAATTATATTCGCATAATCTTGTTAAAATACAAAATTACATGATTTTTTTTATTTCAAAATCAGATCAAATGCATTTAAAAAAAAAAAAAGGAGGAGGAAAGAAATGAAAGCAAAGGAGGAGGAGAAAGCAGGAAGGACCCACGTAAGCTGGCG